GTTGGTGTTACCAACCGGTACTGAAGACCTACGCGCACCCGGGCCTGGCTCGTGCCACGTGGTGGTACTTTAACGCCGGTTCGTGACGAACCTGTACTAAAGGGGGGGGGGGCTTTAGTCCCCACTCTTTAGTGCCGGTTGGCGAACCGGCACTAAAGGTCGTCACGAACCGGCACTAAAGGCCGGTTCTGCACTAGTGACAACGTCTTCTTCCCGGCGCACCACTACTTCAACACCACTGCGCCTATGACTAACTCGGCGCCTTCCTGCGCCCGTGGCTCCATGGCAATTATCTCGACACCGGCTACCCCGACTCAACATCGACCACGACATTCTTCGCACGGCTACCTCGACAACTGGGTACACCACCCTACGCTCTCGACTAATTCGACAACGACACAAACTGCCACCGTCTTCCGCGCTACATCGACCATTACGACTCAGGATGGACACGATCCGGGCCAGTCCGGTCCCTGACCGAGCCACCGTTTGGACCGGCCGCCGGCGGACCGTACCGAACCGGACCAAGCAGCACTGCGGTCCTCTTTTCATGCACCAGACCGAAGGTGGTAAAGCTCGGGACGGACCGAGTGGACCGCCCATGGAGACGTACGGCCATCGCGAGCGGCGGTGCATGGCGACGGCGAGCGGCGGTGCACGTCGGCAGGAGTCTATGGGCCATGGCAAGGAGAAGGAGATGGAAAGCAGCCGCGGATCTCGTCCTCGCCACGCTCGGCATGGCCGTCTCCATGCTCGTTGAGAAGAAACGCAAAGACGCCTCGATCGAGAGGCAGCGGCGGCGTCACCGTCAGCGCGTTCTTGCTGGTGCGGTGGTGCCCCAGTTCTTAGTGGTATGAGTCGGCGAGGCATTCGCCAAGCTGGGGCAGTTGGAGTTTCTTCATCCGGGAGGCACGGGTCTGTTCCTGGTGACGCTAGTATTAATCTTTTTGCCTCTTTGTTCTCAAGAAAAAAATCTTGTTTCCTCATTGTTTGCTGTTTTCTGTCACGTTAATTTTGTTGAGTCGATAGGATTTCAGAATGCAGAGTTGTTGCATGTGGCATAGCTATCAATTTTACAATTTGCATGTTGCAAATAAATAGGGCATCTCACGTGTATGTCCACGTACAGGTGCAGTTATGGCCTGCCTCTGATCAATTTTTTGTTGGATGGCACGCGTTAATAGGATCGTGGGGAGGCGTTAGCGTAGCGATCGGTCATGATTTCTGAGATTTGTGGATCGCACAGAATTGAAGAGAATGAATAACGCTGAATGCGCGCGACGCTGAATCGTGTGCGGCGCTGTCTCGGTTAACCGTGTGGGACCGAGCTAAATCCGGACCGGACCGAATCTTTTTCGGGCTGATATTTGGTAACCGGACCGGCCATTTTATTCAGCGGGCTAGGACCGATCGGTCCGGTCCTTAGCGGGCCAAAAAGCCTGCTCGTGGTGTCCACCCCGAGTTATACCACTGTTGGGGGGGGGGGTGGTGGTCTGTCGGCTTACCTTCAGATTCTTCTCTAGTC